GGGTGCGGTACCGGCCTACCCGCTACTTGAGTGCTTTTTCCCCGCTGCAACCCTTTGAAGTCACGGCCACAGGTAAGTACCGGCCCTGAGGGCCCCACGAACGAACAAGTGCCCTGGCGGGCCACACACACACTCATACCAACCAGCGCTCAGACAGTCACAGTCACACACACGCAAGCCAACCAGCACTCAGACAGACATGCAGTCCAGCAAGCACACACACACAGACTTAGCAGGTGGGGAACTCAGTAGGGCATTCAGTCTATGAGCAAAACTCATAAATCAGTTGTGTGTTTCGGTCCGTGTTTGGACGAGTTATCACAAGTGTGTAATCCGTCATCCTTGCGCGTAGTTGCAGTCCTCTCAGCTCCCATCTTCTCCATTCGTTTAGTTCTTCTTTGGTATCAGCTAGTAGTTCCTCGTAGAACTCGCTAGAGGGGTCCTCTGCCAGGTTAGATTCTGCGACTGAGATGGCGAATTGGATTTCCTCCCTTCTCCTCTTGCGGTCTCCAGCTGTACCTCATGATTCTGCTGATACTGTTCGTGTTAGTTCCGCGTAACTGTCTATGAACCATTGGTTCTATTTGTATGTCTGAACTCTCGCTGTTCGTGGAAGGACCAATTTTCTTTGACATCAACAGACAACCTCTCGGTTGTTAAGAGGGAATTGTTCAGCCTGAAAAAAAACCTGACCTGTTTCAACTGCAGAATTGAAGTTGAGCAGCAAAATGAATGGGTTTATGGTCCAGTCCTTTGAATGCTGCAGATGGACGGATTTCGGCTTCTTTGACTGCACCTTGTAGGCTCTCAGATACGAGGAAGTAGTCAATCCTGGATAGTGATGTCCGATTGGCTTGGTTCTTTTTTATATGGGAGAATATTTTTTTTATCCGGATGCAGTAGTGCCCTGAGCGGATCGATGAGTTCAAATTATGTCATCAGATTCCGTATCCGGGTTCCCACTCTTGTGGGACCCATTAGTATTGTCCTTGATATCCGGTCCAGGTTGGGGTCCAGGGTCGTGTTCCAGTCTTCTGCGATGACTACCGGTTGTGGGTTGGGGATGAGGGTTTTGATGTTCTCGAAGAAGGTCAGTCTTTCGAGTTCCGCGTTAGGTGCATATGGGTTGAGAATTCTCAAGTCTTCTTCTTGCCATCTTATGTCTAACCATGACCATCTACCTTCCTCACTGTCACCCTTGCTTTCAAGATCTGGCCTTCGGTCAGAATCTTGGATGTTCTTGGTATGAGGATTGCAGTCCCTCTTTTGCTTTGGCCATCTTTGTTGGCCAATAGCGTGAATGCACATCCCCGTGCTGTTCTCTCCACCCTTTGCTGTATTCTGGTGTGATTGTTCAGATTGGACAGATGGGTCTCTTGGAGAAGTATCAGATCGGGTCTGGGATAGTCTTTTCCCACCAGGCCCGTCCGGATATCTCTGATTTTGTTTTCTTCAGCTAGAACGTTTCCTAGACCGTTGACATGCCAACTTACTATTTGGAGACCCTTAGCCTGCTAGTTCATCTAGGTGGGCTGCCTTGCCCATTTCTGGTTTCCGTGGGGCCTGGCATTGACCGGTACCTCGTTTTTCTCCTTGCACCCTATTCGTTTTTTTTTTCCCGTTTCGTTGCCCATTGGTTTGTGATTTTGCGGTTTTGTTTCGGCGTGTGTGGACAGGGTTTGGTTACTGATGTGGGTGAGGTCTTCAGTCCACTGCAGCGTCGGTCTTGCGGCTCTCAGTGTCCGACTCCCTAGTCTCCCTCTCCGATTCGGATCCCATGCCGTATGCTCCTGTGCTTCTCTCCGTCGAAGTGAGTGGTCCTTTGTTGTCTCCACCAGGGGAGATCTTATTGTCCAGTCTCAGCTCCTCCTCCTTTTCTTCCTCCATGTCGTCTTCTTCTTCCCCCATGTCCACGTCAATAGGAGTGGCCTCATCTTGCAATGAGCTCCTTGAGGTCAAGAGGTGGGTCATGATGATATCTGCTAACGACTCGGCAATGATTTCCGTCGAGCAGGACCTGTCGTTCAGCACATTGTATGGCAGTGCTGTAATCGTGTTCCATGCCCTCCAGGTCAGGCCTTCGCTGAGTTTTGCTTTTTCCTCGAGCTTGACCAGGATGGGATCGAACGGGGTGTGGATCGATGAGTCTGAGTCCTTACTCTCACCTGCTGGCTCTTGTGGTGGAACAACGTAAACCCCCCAGCGGAAGCGCTGTGGAAATGTTCGCTCTAATGTTCCCCGCAAGGGCGCGATCGTCATCAAGGGTGGGGATTGTGAAGGAGGCATCGGTGGCCGCTTGCCACTCGTTGAATTTGCTCCTGTATCGTACTGGGAGCAACGGGTGAGCCGCCCTGGTGGTTGTTCGGTCGGCCTCTGCAGATCTGGTGATGGGATACCCTCACCTGCTGGCTCTCGTGCTGGCTCTGGTGGTGGAACAGCATAAACTCCCAGCGGGAGCGCTGTGGAAATGTTTGCTCTAACGTTCCCCGCGAGGGCACGATCGTCGTCAAGGGTGGGGATTGTGGAGGCATCGGTGGCCACTTGCCACTCATTGAATTTGCTCCTGTATCGTACTGGGAGCAACGGGCGAGCCGCCCTGGTGGTCTTTCGGTCGGCCTCTGCAGATCTAGTGATGTGATTGGCCTTGCCTTCCACGACCTTCTGAACTGTGACAAATTTTTCTTTTTGTTCCTTCCTGTAGTCCTGGTTCTGATCGAACAAGCGTTTGGTTTGTGCTGCTACTGTTGCGATCTATTGGGTGAGATTTCGCTGTTCGTTCTTCTTTCCCGCCTCGTCTCTGGGAGGTCCCCTTGTCCTTTTGTCCCGGCCTCTTGATGGTTTCCAATTCTTGGAGACCATGTCGCGGATGGAGTCTGCTGAGGTCAGGGGGTCGAACCCCATTTCAGCATCCCCTCCTGCAGAATCTCTCTCTCTCTCTTCTTTTCGTAGTATCTGAAGGCGCTGAACTCCAAGAGTTAAGGATTTCTGATGTACCAGTTCGTAATAGCTTTTGGAAGAAGGGATCCCTGCAATTTGGATTTCTGTCTATCGCTCTTGCTCATATTCCTTGCAAATGCTCCTTGGTGAATTCAGACTTTCAAGCCTATGTCGTATTTGAATTTGAGTTGTTTTTTTTCTTTATCACAGGGGATTATCGGATCATTATCCCGTAATGATATTGTACGCATGAGGATTTGAACTCATGATCTGTTTAACAAGAGTAACATGTGTTTACCATTCAGCCACTGGCCGTTGGTGAATCCGAGGTGTTGGCTTCTAACATAAGAGTACCACCCTCCACGGCTGCTCATTCTACAGCATACTGCTGTTGTGTACACAATACTAAACATGTTTTTCACCTACCGTCTTGTCCCGAACGTAACGCACCCTGATAATGAATATATACAAGCTATCTTTCCAGTTCTGTACAGCCATAAAGAGGGTGCACTGTGTTCGGGGAACGAAAGTGGCATGGGAGGTGAGATCCTCCCCATGATAGAAGGTAGCTCCAGACGTGAGGCTGCTTTTTCTTTTTCCAGTCCTTGTCCTCTGGCCCTTTGGGCCTCCCTTTTGCCTTCTCTCAGCTCATTGCCTCATTCGGTTTGTTGCTTCAGCACAAGGATGGAGAATAACTTCTGATACGCAGGACGTCGCAGGTATGTGTCCTCTCGTGGCATACTGCGCAGCCACACGGGCCTGCAGGGCCCGACCAGACGGAAAATAAGGGCCCTACAGGCCCTGTGTCGTTTCAGCCTAAAAGCCTGAAAACGAGGGCCATTTTCAGGCCCTCATAAAGTCGACCTGCCCTGAAACTCAGGCGCCAGACCAGGGTTTAGCACAGGCCTATTTTGGGCCTGTTTCAAGACAACCTTTGTTTGAACTTCAACGCCAGGGTCTGGCACATTTCAGCATTGGCAAGAGCAGCCTCCCGGACGGGCCAGCACTATATAGAACTGGCCCGCCCTGCAGGCTGCAGGGAGCTCATAGGGAGCTCATAGGGAGCTGATAGGGACTTCCCAGGCAGTTAACGGGGCACTTCACGTGCAGGAGGCAGTCTTCAGGATTCGGCAGCAGCACTCTGGAGGAGCGCTGCAGTAGTAGTAGCTAGCGCTAGAGTAGTCTTCAGCGCTGGGCGCTAGTAGGAGCTTAGAGTAGCGTTGGGAGAGAGAGAGTTGGCGGAGGCCAGCGAGACTTATCTGTGGCGCCATAGCTCCAGCTTCGTCTTCGAGGTACCTGCAACACAGCGTCACCTTCAAAGGTCAGTACTTGGTACAAGAGAGAGAGAGAGAGAGGGTTCTTCTTCTTCCTCCTCTAAGTCCACCATCTCTCCCTCACCCTCTCACTACCTGACTTCTCAGCAGCTACAGACTATGAGAGAGAGAGAGAGAGAGAGAGAGAGAGAGA